TCTACTTCTCTGGCTGCCTAGCATAAACCTACTTTTCTGGCTGCCTACCATCTACTTCTCTGGCTGCCTAGCATAAACCTACTTTTCTGGCTGCCTACCATAAACCTTTTTCTAGAGATACCAGGATCTATCTGTGACTGTGGCCCAGAAAGTTCTAGTTGGTCTCTAGTATGTAGTACAGGGCCATGCAAAGTAGGTCTGGCAGAAGTTTCCTGAGTGACCAGTGATGCCAGTGAGGACTTGAACTAGGGTGATCTGGGTTTTGAGGCTATTTACACCAATTACTAAGGTCCCCATTATCCCCTTTGGAGAAGGTCACATAAATATACCTAATCTAATATCACCTAAAGTCCTTCAGCCATAAGCCAAAAAGATGCCACAAAATCACACTGGGTAGCCTTGATCAGACACTCAAGATGGAGGCCATGATCCACAGGGTTCAGGGAGCCATCTCACCCAAGCTCTGATTTTCCTATGCTGTGACTGGTCTGCTTGCAGTGTGTACTCATCATGTTTACAGGGAGATGGGAACATGTTCAGCTGTCTGGGCACTGCTAGTGTCCATTTAGCTCTTGGGCCTTCGCCAGTACTCCTGCCTTCCATCAAAGCAAGGTTCTGTCATTCTCCAGCAGCCTGCCCCTATCCCAGCTCACGTCTCTTTCTAACCACTCTCCTCAGTGGAAAAGTCATGGTTGGGTTTTTTTTGGGGGGGGGGGTGAAGTGGGGAGGACGTTGTTAAAGACTCTTAAAGAAGCCAAGAAATGGGAGGATTCTTGGCTTTTCGTGGAGGCTATCTGACCCTGCAGCAAGCAGATTGCCCTCTCTTGAATCACAGATTCCACAGCTAAATGGCGTGGCCCGATGGGGCCTCCCGGTTTGCAGAATGTTAAATAAAAAATATATTAAGAGAGCCTCCCTTCTCCATGGCTTATTCAGAGATCATCGTGTGATGCAGTAAGAAGGTTTGGATTTTCTTGTCACTGCCCCCCAAATGGCAGAAGGTACATTGGCTCAGTTGTCCCTTTGCCAACCTCTTCTCACCAACTGGATGTAGTTGTATTCTTATTAAGAATTACTTACTAAGTCTCATTCTTATTAAGCACTTTGTACTCCTTTTGTCAGGGTCCTGGGTGGGCGATGCATTGGACAATAAAAGTATAACTATGCCTAACATTGGTTGAGATTTTATAGACCAGACAAAATGCTTGATGTTTTTTCTTTATGTAGTTTTACTGATGTAAAATTCACCCCTTTAAATTGTAGTGTTCTCTAGCTTTAGCATATTCATAGTACTCTGCAGCAATCTTCAGTATCTCCTCCCAGAAGATTTTTATCACTTTCCAGAGAAACCCAGTGCCTTTTCCTCTTGCTCCTGGGTGACTGTTTAGTATACCTTCTATTTTGTGGATTTGCCTGTTCAGATAGTTCGTGTGAATGGGATTCTATAATATGTAGGCCTTTCTGTCTGACTGCTTTCAATTATACAGTGTTCTTAAGGTTCACATGCCTTTTGTGTTCATCAAAACCTCTGTCTGTGTCATGCTGTGCAGTCATTGTGTGGGTGGACTACAGATATTCAACCGTTTATCAATTTGTGGATGTTTTAGTTGTAGCACCTTGGATAATCGGGAGCAGTGCTCTTAGGATGCTACAGTGCAGGTTTTCATTTGTGTACTTTTCTCACATGCTTATTATCTAGCAGTGGAATTGCTGGGACTCACAGTAGCTGTATATTCAACCTCTTCCAAACTGCCAGGCCGTTATCCAGGTGCATCATTTTGCCTCCCTGTACTAATTTGTTTTGTTGAGACAGTCTCCCTCTGTTGCCCAGACTGATTTGGATCTTATGGTGATTCTCTTGCCTCAGCCTCCCCGGTGCTGTGATTACAGGCATAAAAACCTCACCTGGTTTTCGTGCTGGTTTTCAACTACATTATCACAGAAGCTTCATGAAATACAGTTAGAACTGTTGATGTCGTGCCTTTCAGCAGCTCAGTGGCAAAGCCCAGAGCTTTCCCCTTACCCTTGACTGCACATAGGCGCTGATGAGTGTTTGACCAGTGTCAAATCTCTGCCAGGTTCTGCTTTACATCTTCAGGATGGGAGTTTGGGGCTGTATCATTTACACTATTCCTGATGCTTAGGCCCCATTTATTGACTAAAATGTCACCCTTTCCCGTCTTGGTGTGTTTGTAAGAAACTTGAGGGGAGGGATCCTTGTGTCTTTAGGGTTCTTTTGCTTTGTGGGTTTTCAGATGCCTTCTGGGTTCTGTGTTCCCCTAAGCATACTGTGTAATCCTGTAACCTTTTAAATTAGGCATCTGTTTTAGATATGTAGCCTGTGTTGGGGAGTGGTAGATGACATCCTGTTTGTCAGTCTTCCCTACTCTCTTGTCTTTGATCCCATGCTGCTGATAACCTTCCATCCTTTTTCTCTTCTAGGCTAAACCCATTTATGGTGGCTGGCTGCTCCTGGCTCCAGATGGCACTGACTTTGATAACCCAGTGCACCGGTCTCGGGTAAGGGTACTTGAGAAAATTCTTAAGAGCGGGAAAAACTAGAAGGAGGTTCATTTGAGAGCAAAATTGATTTTAAAAAAATAGGGAGGGAAATACTGGAACCAGAGTGACAAAGTCAGCAGGGATCGAACATTTTGTAAACTCTGAGGTCTCAGAAAGTTCTGCTTGCACATATAGAGAGTCCTTGTTTCAGAATGTGCTATTCTTGTATGGGTGTCACCTGTTGTGGGTCATCTGGACTCTGAAAACAGTCAAATGGAAAAGACAAAAAACAACTAAGTACGTCTTTGCAGCATGTTCTCCTAGTTCCCGAGTCCTTCAGAGCCAAGGCAGTTTCTTCTGAACTGGGAACTTAGCACTGTGAGTTCTGATAAAGGGCTGAGGCTTGAACACCCTTGCTCTCTGACTTGCTCTCAGACACTGTTCTGTCTTTTGGATATAGGTCTCTTCTGAAGCTAAAGGGTGAATAAAGACATACTTTGTTGACCAGAGGCTTGCTTATTAACCCTGAGCAATCCATCAGGGATTTAGCTCCAATCAGAGCATCTTTTCCATACACTTTTTCCTAGTTGTACTTAAGACAGTTGCCCTAGCTCTGCTCATCCCTTTTCACCTAGGTGGGTCCTCATGATTTCATGCTCTGGCCCACAGAACTAGTAGCATTGTGTTTCTGGTCCTTGGGCTTCCTTCTGGAGTAAATTCTGATTCCAAAGATAACACATAGGAACCTTGGAAATGTTTTTGGAAAACAGGTGCCAGTAGCCTGTTTTAGAACTCCAGCCTGGAAGCAGCCCTAATAGGTCCTTTCTACATAGCACCATAAGTCCTGTTCTTACACCATGGTGGCCAGTGGTTCCAGCTAGAATGCAGTATGCAGGGAGCCAAGTGCCTTTCCTGGTTTCTATGACTCAGAACTGCCAATTTTTTTTTTACTGCAATGAGAAAGCCATTTTTTTTAATTTATTTTTCTTGCCTAGAACAAAAAAAAATGAATTATAGTTAATTCTATGGCTTTTGTTTTGTTTTGTTTTGTTTCAAGTTGATTTCTCCATGTAACAGTCTTAGCTGCCCTGGAACTAGCTCTTGTAGATCAGGGTGGCCTTGAACTCACAGAGATCCACCTGTCTCTACCTCCCGAGTGCTGGGATTAAAGAAGTACCCACTATTGCCACGCTAATTCTGTGGCTTTAGTGCTAGTCAAAATTTACTTGTTATTGGACTTTGTGAAATGTTGAGAATAGAACCTTGCATCCTTCTGAAATCACCCCGAGGGATTGTGATGGGAGCTATGCCTGTCTGTGAGCCATGATTTAGACTCACAGCCTTATTGGGGGTAGGCAAAACCCTTCACACAGAAAGATGATGTGTTTATTTATTCTTTCCATTTCAGTTTTCAATGGCATTTGATCACGGTAACACCACTGGAGGCCTTTGTTGGGGTTCTTCTCTGTTTGATTTTTGTTAGCTTGTTCAACCACTGTTGAATTCCTCAGCCTTGACTGTCTGCTTTCTTTCCCTGACAATCACAAAACCAACCCATTTTATACCATTTCCCAGACTTTCTTGAAAGGGATGCTGTCACCATCCCTGCAGCCTCAGGTTATTCCAGATCATATTAGATCATTCATCCAGGCAATTGACAAACATTCTATGAAAATGTTCTACTGATTGCCAGTAGGAACATAGAAAAGTGACCATATAACAGTTTCTAACTTCCAGGGAAAGCTCCAACTTTAAAAGCTTCGTGGAGCATCTGGAAGCACTAGTCACTTGTGATTAGGCAGGTCTGTCTCCTGACCCCACCTGGCTAATGAATCACTATACAATCTGGTTTCATTCCTCCTGCCATCTACTCCAGAAGTGGAAGTCTCAGAACCAGCCTTCCTTAGAGTCTGTGTGTCAGATATTAGGGTTCTGCCAGCTGAGATCCAGGGCCAGGAGACCTCACCCCCAGCTCTGTGTTCTGTTGTAGAAATGGCAGCGACGATTCTTCATCCTGTATGAGCATGGCCTTCTGCGCTACGCACTGGATGAGATGGTAAGTGTCCTCAGTATTCCCTGACCCTGGCCATGCTCTCCTCAGGCTCCTCAGCTGTGGCACTGCTGGCCACATCATATGTGAATGCAGCCCTGCTCAGGCTTCTGTTTGGGAGTCTTGGATGTTTTAAAGGACTTGTAGTACTAAGTAGAAAATACTCTAAAACCCAGATCTTATGCTTCAGATTTGCTTGGTTTTTTTGTTTGTTTGTTTGTTTTTTGTTTTGTTTTGTTTTGTTTTGTTTAGCAGTTGTTGGTAAGAGGTAACAGTGAAGAATGAAGTCACTTTTCGGGGGGAAAGTCCTGGAGGTCAGCAAGGTTTGCAGAGGTGGTGTTCCTACAGGCCTGAGTGGAGACAGGCAGGCTTATGTCCTGTCTTCCCAGGACTATCCCACTAGATGTTGGTATAGATTTCTTTTTAGCTGGCACTGAGGTCTACCAGTTCTGTGATCAGAGCAGAAGACCTGCTTTCTTCTCTTCCACTACCTGGTTTTCTGCCTGCATCATGGGTGGATTAAGTGCTTGCGGCTCTTGCGCCAAAGGCCAAACCCCCAGTCCAGTCAAGTAGAACAGAAAGAATGCCTGCCTCTATTTCTACCCATGTCACCCCCCCACACACACACTTTTCACCAAAGGAAATTTCTCTCTCCTAAATGAAGCATTGGATGCCTCTTCCTCTGTCATTTGAGTAGACAAGTGTGTGCAGGTATGCACTGTGGTGCCTGTGAAGACTGGGACCCCCAGGAAAGTCTAGTCATACTGTTTCAAATAGATTGACCCACTTGCTGCACCCCAGAGCAGCTTTCTTTTCTTTTCTTTCTTCTTTTCTTTTCTTGGTTTCTCTGTAGCTTTTAGAGCCTGTTTGGGAACTAGACCAGGCTCACCTTGAACTCGCAGAGATTGCCTGCCTCTGCCTCACAAGTGCTGGAATTAAAGGCATGCGCCACCACCACCCAGTCCAGAGCAGGTTTCTTAACTCTGATGCTGTGACACCCTATATAGTGTGAGTTAACTGTCTCCAGGGACTTTGCAGAGGGTTAGGAAACTAGAATTTGGGAAATGATCATTAGCATTCACATGTGCCGAGCAGGCCCCTTTCCACCTATGCTTTCTGATGTGGCATCTCACTCCTTTTATTCTGAGATCATTAATGAGCATGATATTGTACCTCTAGCCCCCCCTCAATAACTGTCACCTCATTGATTGCTTAAGATTTTTTTTCCCCATTGTTCCTTTTGATGAACCTGAGAGTGAAGTACAGGGGGTTTTGCTGAAGAGCCATTTGTGAGCCAGAGTAATTTGAAGTGGGCACTGACAGTGACCCAGCTAGAAACAGGAACAGGTAGACATGCATGATACTGTTCTCCGAGTTCAGGAGGTACGGACGGCAAACTCCGCTCCTCCTTGCTGTCCTCCTGTCTTAACTGTCAGTGGGCAGCAGCTCTGGGATAGGAGTTAGGTCTCCCATAAGCCCGTCCCATTCTTAAGTTCTGTAACTAGTGAAGAGTGTTGGAACCTCTAGAGGTCGTTTGATTATGATCTTGTTGGGTTCAGACCATGAGCGTCTAACAATCAGCACAGGGATTCTTTATTTAGGCCCCACTGAAATCTAGAAGAATTCATTATTCCATTGATTCAGTTGCATCAGCACAAAAGGAGTGGCTGCTGGGCACCACACCGATTGCTGCTGCCCTTAAGAGCTGCTATTTAATAAGACCATTGAGCCAGGTGTGGTCCATAGCATCTCCCAGAAACTTGATCTCTATTACTGCAATGAAGACCATGATTAAAAACTTGGGAAAGAAAGGGTTTATTTGTCTACAGGTCCTGATCATAGTCCATCACTGAGGGAAACCAAACAAGGAGCTTAAGCAGGGCAGGAACCTGGAGACAGGAAAGGAAGCAGTGATCAGTGAGGAACACTGCTTAGTGACTTGATATCAGTTTGTACTTTTGTACAACACAGGACCACCTGCCCAAGGTGTCACTGCACATAGTGGACTGGGCCCTTCGATATTAATCAAGAAAATGCCCTACCAACTTGCCTACCAGACAGTCAGATGGATGCATTTTTTAAATTGTGGTTCCCTCTTCTCAGATGACTCTGAACTTATGTCAAATTGGAAAACTAAAATAAAATAGCCAGCGTACAGGGTATGGGCTAAGACAGAGGTGACTCTTTCAGGACTGTGAGAAAGGAAAGGAAGAAAAACTTGAAGAAGGGACATTTCGGGGCAGGGGGGCCATCCAGTTCTGAAAGTGTTTATGTATGGGCCATTTTTACATGGCCTTGTATCTGGAAAGACAAATCATGTACCCAGTTGATGTTTTTCTTCCCAGACCAGGGTAGCGCACATAACCTAGTACTTCTGAGAGTGAAGTGGCAGAACCAGCAGTGGCAGTCATGTTGAAATGTCTTCTAAAGTATCACTTTGTAAGGCTTTTCCATGTTGTATCAGGAAGCTCACATAAAAACTACAAAGGAGGCCATCACAGTGAAGACCAGGCAGCAGGAGTTAGTCAGGATAGGGGCCAGGAAGGAAGAGGCCATTTCAATAGAAGTCAGGAAGGAAGTAGCATGAGGGTTCCTCTTGCTAGGACTGAGGGTGAGGGGAACTTACCCATGCCCTCTGGTCTGCATCATGTCAGGGTTGTTTACCCTTTGTAACCATTCCCTGGGGCAAGAAAACATGTCGTCCTCTACCACCCTCTGCCCATTTGGATGAGATCTGAGAACAGATAGATGCTTGTACTTGTTCTCATGTGGCTGAGCCCCAGCACAGAATGTTTACCATGTTCTTTCTGATTGCCTTTAAGAGCCATGGTCTTCAGTGGGGTTAGTGTGCCTCAAGGCTGTGGCAGTTGTGTGGTTTGGTTGAAACAACTAGAGCAGTGAGTGATGCTATTGGTACATACCAGTGGGAGGCCAAGGGTGCATAAGACATCACCCACAACAAAGGAGAATCAGCTTTAAGTTTCTGTAATGACCAGGCTAAGAAAGTCTGAATGATTTGGCCGATGACTTATTTACATTTTTTAAACTTAAAATGTTTGATTTGTTATTAATTATTAGCACAGGACACAGAACTACCTCTCCTGCCTCTGTGTGCAACTCACTCAGGGAACACATCCATATTTCATTCTTGGATTATGGCATTCTTGGATCCTGGTACTTATAAAGTACCCCCATCTGGGTGCTTGCATCTAAAAATAGCATCTTTCAGCAGTCTGTGACTGCCTCTGGTCCTCTTGTTAGCAGCCCTCGCTGGTAGCCTGTCCTTCCCAGCAGATTGACTGCACCATTAAGTTGTAGCATTTTATGGCTCACTTCCTCCCTTAACATTTAGTTACAATCTGTTTCAAGTTGTCATTTCCCTGTTATACATTATCCTCCCTCCCTCCCTTCCTTCTTTCTTTCTTTTTCGTTTTTCGAGACAGTGTTTCTTTGTAGCTTTGGAGCCTGTCCCGGAGCTAGCTCTTGTAGACTGGACTGTCTTCAAACTCAAAGAGATCCACCTGTCTCTGCCTCCTGAGTGCTGGGATTAAAGACATGCACCTTTTTTCTTTCTTTTAAATGCTTTTTTACTAGTCAGACTTCGGGTTTCCACTGTGATTGGGGTCTTGATAATTCTTGATTTCTTTTCATATTGTCTAAGTGGGGTTCAGTGGACCAGGCATAACAAGATATGTGGAATTAGCGCTCTCCAGCAGTGGTGAACTGGAAAGATGGGCGATAGGGTAGTCCCAGAAGTTTGAATTGCTCTTACAAAAAGGGGACATAATGATGTCCAGAAGACACTTAAGAAATAGTGAAGAAAAGACATCCCCTGGCCCTTGGCTGGGCTGTGAAGCAACAAGTGAAATGCCTGATGGTCACAATGTCCCTTAGGAGGTGGGTTAGCTCTGGGATGTTTAGGACTCTGGCTAGCTAAATAGGACAGTTAAGGTCCCTGGTGTAACCATTGCCTTTTCAGGCAGAGCTAAAATGGGCACTCACTTTTGGGAATCTTTCTTTTCCTTTAGTGTGTGTGGAGTCCAGGCAGATTTCCCTAAAAAAGAAGAGAAGCTTCCAGACAGAGTGTTTGTTGAAGTGAGGGGCATGATGGCCCACAGACAAAATGGAGTCTGAAGAGGCTAGGCCTACTACTTTTCAGGAGAGTACAAGCAAGGAGCCTGAAACCCCACTGTTGCCTAGCCTTTGCTTTTTGCTTCGTATCTGGATCATATAGAAACTGATACAATACTAAAGACCTGCTTGCGTCTGACAAGAAGTTCTGGGCACCATAGTGGGCCTATTCTCTTCCTGTGCCCATATACAAGTAAGGCAAGCAGATGGTTGAATGCTTTGTTGTTTTTTATTGTGGTAAAATACGCTTGACATAAAACTACCCTGAGCACATAACACAAAGTACATAAGGTGGCAGTGAGTACACATACAGTTATCACCATTCAAGTGCAGAAGAGCTCTGTTGTCTTCTCGGCAGAAATTGTTCCCAGTAAGACCCTAACTCGCCCCATAGCCCCATTCTCTGGCTTGTGTCTCAGCTTGATTCCATCAAAAGCCTCATACAGGTTGGTGTCCCTTACTGGAAATGTTTGAGACAGGTGAAGTTCAGTATTTTGAATTTTTTCCCTGCATTTGGGGGTGTTTATATTGATATTACATGTTGTCAAGGGAACGAGAAAAAGTCTAAATAGAAAAATCATATATGTTTCTACTATACCTTGTATACATAGCCTGAAGACAATTTTATACAGTTTTTTTTAAATATAAATTTGACTATACCCCATTATGAGGTTAGTGTGGAATTTCCTGCAAGTCAGAGCTTGATTATATTTTGGATCATTTCAGATCTCAGACTTTGTGTAAGTGGACTCTTAGCTGCTTGTATCTAGGATATTGCACTCTATATGTGTTCTCAATTTACACATTGTTATGGTGTATTGCAGCATGTGGCAGGATTCCATGCCCTTTTCACTGTGGTAGGTCCACAATTCTTG